AATTTTATTGTCCTGATAATCAGCATTTATTGCTTATTATTTTCCACAAGTTTATTTTGTATTTTATCATAAATCAATTTTTTCTGGTAATAAATAAGTGTAAATGAAAATGCATATACACAGGATGGCGTAAAATTTCACGAGCTTTCAGAAGATGTCGTTACTTTAAAAAAATATGTTCTTTTGGTAACAGTATCTTCAAAATACAGAGTGAAACTTATTTTTTCCAGGAGTATATATATACAGCTTTTATATCTAACTAGAACTTCACTAAAAACCCGAAACTAGTACATGATCGTTTTGTGAATGTTTTTTTCTTTTGAACTATTTTGTATTTTGTACTTAGTATTAAACAATTTCTCAATCAGCCCACTAAATAGGTGAAAGGAAAAATACTATTTAAAACAAATGTCACTATAATACAAGAATTTGTCCAAAACACATGATTATACACATTAAAAGTTTTTTTTCGTCTAAAGGCAATAGCAAAATTAAGAGCTTTTTGGAAATTTTCTACTTTCTTCGATAAAATATAGGAAAAATAGGAATTTTCATTAAAATATAGGACAAAAATAGAACGCTTTTGAAAATAGAGGAAATATAGGTCGAATCGCCGCCCAGCTGTTCGTTGTTAAACATTTTGATTCTTAAAATAATTCCAATTTAAACAAACTTGTCTTTCGTTGACAACATTAAACTTCGTTTTTAGTTTATTTACTTGCCAATTAATACCATTGTTTACTTCTACGCTAATCTCTTTTCATTATTGTCTTCATACAAACAAAATTAGATTCACAAATAAGATATTGTATACATCAGACAGACAGCAAGGTGAGTCGACTTAACAAACTATTGGCTGTTTGCAATACGAAGACGCTCACATTATCTATGAAACGCAGTTCGACCATATTCACGAGTAGAAATTGACAAAGTTGTTTTTATAAATTTGAAAAATATTTTTTCCTAAAGTTATAAATGATCTTGCATTATATGTATTGATTAGCTCTCATAGAATATTTATATCAAAGAAACAGACACAAAGAAAAGAAAAACACTATCAAACACTTTGAATAGGTATATGAAAATAAGTTTGTGGTAAAGGTGTGCAATGCTGAGAATCGAAATCCACTAAATGTTGATCAATAAAATAGATTGCGAAACGTTGTCGTTCAAGTAATGAGAAATTCTCGCCTAAACAAAAACAAAATTTTTAAATAGACTTTATTTTCGTATAACGATTATTACCAAATTTGCTTGGATATGAAGCGACTGGATTTTCCATACGATATTCATCTGTTCGCAATTGTAATTCTCGATGATTGGAACAATATTGTTCGAATAAAGCAATTTTTTGTATATTATTCGAACAAATATATCGTCTTAGAAGTGTTAATGTTTGATCATCATTATAAATATATGGATATCGATAATGAAGAATAGCAAATAGAAGTTCATTACCACGATTTGTTTCTATCCGGCCAGGTATAAGACTAAGAATTTCATCTTGTGTACGACGAATAAGATAAAATGGTCCGTTGTATAATTTAAGTAATTGTACATTATTCAAATCAAGATAATACCGTACTGTTTTTTCAACAAATTTTGATGTTACAGCTGGCATTTGACGTTGTGCCAATGGCAAGACATCATCGAAAACAGCGTCTAGTACGAGACCACGAATATCTTGATAATTAACAGCTGTCCAACATGCCGAATAACCACCTATAGACCATGCAAATATAACGATATCATCGACAAGAAAATGAAGTTCTTCTATGGCATAACGCATCACTGCATCGATTGAATTTATTTCTGAAATCGTGCCAGGATGACCCTAAAAAATAAATATCAATTTTATTGTTTCTTAATTAGTATTTAAGAATTGATAAGACGATCGATAGCATGTATTATTTTCAATTAGGCAGTTCTACTCCGGCAATATATCATCATTGAGTTCGATGCATGATCTCATCTTGAAAAATGAAAATCGGCTCTAGTGAAAAGCGTTTCACAATGATTTCAAAGAAAAAGATTTTTTTGTCAGCTCGAAATCTCCCTTATTCTTATTTTGAAGTACTATCATAAAGCAAAATGAATCATTCGTCCTAAACAATTGCCAAAATACTTGTGAATTTTCTATAAATTCAAATAATCGATGAGATTGAAAATCAAAGTCAGAAAAAGTATTTTCTTCTGTTAAAAATGTGAACTCACTACAAAATCTTACCGAACTTTCACCAAATCCTGGTCGATTCCAACCAAGTACTGAATATCCAGCTTCGATTGGTGTTGACATACAGCCCATTTCATAAAAGCCAGCATTGCCTTCACAAGTAACCACCAATGTTTGACCGTTGTGCGTTTGATTTGAATCACGTCGATCAATAAATACCGTATCAATATTATTTCCATCAGCAGTACGTAATACATAACGTTTTGCACGATTTCGAACAATCAAAGTTGTACGTCCATCAAGTAAAGGACGTTCCATCATTTGTCGAAGTAATTGTAAACTACCTGGAAACATCAAACGTCGACCGAATACATTAACACAAACATAGCCGAGTAGAAGAGATGGATAATGAAAAATACGTTCGAGTAATGTCGATTCAGTACGATTAATTAAATCGCTTTTTGTTGTTGATATCATTGGTAATTTTCGAATAAATGATGATTCAACAACGTAATCGGGTTTCCAATGTGATAGAGAAAAGTCAAATTTTGATAAAAAGTGCTAAAGAAAAATAAATTGCGACTGAATAGTTTTAAAAAATTATTTCTTTTTCAATTACTTGTCGAGCTTCTTTTGTTGAGCCATGTTTTACTTTATAAAATTCTTCAATAAATATTTTATAACTTGGATTAACAAAACGACCAATACCTCGTAATACCATAAAATAAGCTGATATTATTGCAATACAACCAACAATACGTAATGTCATAATTCCATTTTCGTACGTTAATAAACCTTTACGATAACAATAAATCAAACATAATGGCCATGTTACTTTGAGTATTCCAATGGATAGTTTAAGCTAAAGAAACAAATTTTTTAATAAATAGATTCCCAAAATATATATATATATATATATTACAGCAAAAAATACGTTATCACTGAGCGTTTCTGCAGTATTTTTCATATAAATATGAGCAGGCTACAACGAAAAAGTAATTCAGAGTTTTTCTTCACATAAAATTGTAATATATACTTGTTGATCATTTCGACTAGCTGATGGAATTGCCGATGGAATTGCCGATGGATAAGTTTGATAGAGTTTTGGGCCGAATATGCATCGCCAAAAGAAAATCAGTTGATTTTTCATTGGTAATAATTTAAATAGGTAGTAGAAACAAATAAAAAAAGTTAAATGGCATGACTGTGTTTTTTCTCTATATGTTGACATTTAATGTGGCAAGTAGAACAATCCAAAAAGAACAACATAGATGTCACCAGAAGCCAAAAATATGTAAACGAACGTTCTGTTTTCGCTTACTCTGAGAAAAAGAATAATGTATTTTTGAAATATAGAAAAACATCAAAAGAAAAGAATATTATTGATATTATTAGCCGTTCAGTTTATTTCCAGTACTTGATAGATGAAGGTATATATACCAGTGAACTTTATTTACTACTTTTGAGTCTCTTTGTTTATTGTAATAGACGCAGGGGTCGCGCGACCAGCGGGATGAGGAGGGGTGTACACCCTCCCCCCCCGTTNGCGCGGCCCCTGGATAGACGTCATACAATTTAATGCAATAGGTGTGCTTTAGGTTTCTTATTAGTATTTGTACAGATCATTTCTCATACGTCAGTTTGACTTCAATTCTGATGATAATATTTTACTATTAGTATGTCGAAAAAATATAATATGATATTTATTTTATTTAAAATTCATCAACATCTTTGGTGTATGGATACAGAATGATTCCAATAGAAAAACGTTTTACTCCCAAAAACCCTTCAGACTTCCCCTATGGCATGTATTTTATTTTTCGTACTACTTCTGGTCGATAATTACTAGAACTGATGAAAAAGCTAAAAGTCCTAATTTTGATTCATCTCTTATCAATTTTCAGTATTTTTAGCTCAGATTCAAGGTTGCATCGATAATTTTCTAACTAGTGTTGAGAAAATCTCATTTTCTTCAAGACACACGAAGTGGGATATCGTGTTTATCTCGATGTTCACTCTGGGGTCATCATACAACATCGCGCTGAAATCAAAATGCTGCGGTTTTATTTTGAATTATTTTTCGGGGGATTTGTAGTGACTACAATCATTAGTCTGATATATTGTAATATTTGTAATTAATGTTAAACAGCTGATGCTTGATTCTATATATTATCATGCATACGAGTTGAGAAACTTCATTTATGATTAATAAAAAAATTTCTATCTGATGATTCAATTTTTTTCCTGCTTGTAATAATTCTATTATTCGAGCTGATTTTATCTAATCAAATATGTGCCAAAGAGCCCTTCATCACGGTTCTATCGTTTCAGTGAATTCTAAATTCGATGTACTAAGATTATCTTCTGTTAGATACGCATGATGATATCGATACATTTAGCATAGGTTAGAATGACATTTTTCTGCCTTCAACACCATTCATATCTTCGAACTGGGTGTAAAGAATTTTGTTTGATGATAAATGGATAGTTTATATTCGTTACCGCTGCAGCTTTAATTTTTATTTGTGATCACAAAGAGAAACTGGAAGAGTAGCGTTACCGCTATCCTCGGTGTATAAGATGTTAGTTACACTATTCCATTCTCCAATGTTCTAGTTCTGTTACAATTCTGTGTTTCAACACAATATGCAATCGCCTTATATATGCACACGAGAGAGAGAGAGGACAGAAAAAAGATATGATAGACATTTCCACCTTACATTAATTACGTTCAGAAACGTAATCACATTGCGCAATGATATACGGATAATATTTAGAAGAAGATCAGATACATTAATGATAGTAGTAGGTTGTACAAAATCCGTTGAGAATAACACATTCGACAACACTAATGAAAAAGTAATAGTCCTGTCCGCACGACAGTCCCAAAGGGTAATTAAAAAAATGGACACCAAATACGTGAACAATAAAGGATGTCCATGCATTATTGGCACTAGAGGCCTGCGGGTCCATGTTTTTTTTGGACCCGGACCGATCTTTTTTGTACCAATATCTGGCACCCTCTGTGCACAATGTGCATGAACAGATAAAGGTACAAGGTTTTATTTCTTTATTGGCCCCTTTAAAAAGTCACTGTACATCATCAACAACAAAAAAAGCTCGAACTTTTGATGACAATGAATTTAGTGATGAGGAAGTCATCGACGAACAGGCATAATAAGAAAAGTTCAATTTTTTTTTGTATAAAAACATACTATAATATGCTAGAGTAACGAACAGATGTTATTGGCGTGTGGTTTATTCGTATTTAATTGTCTATTTGTTTTTTCATATAGATTTAGTTTATGCATTTGAAATGACATTTTTCTATTTTAGAAATAAAAAGGAAAGAAGAAATCTTGAAAAATAAGAAAGAAATCGATATTCATATTTACAATTTAATGCAAACCAGGTCTGAAGTCAAATTTAGAAAGAGACCCGGACCTGGCTAAAGCTTAGCTTTTTATACCCGGACTCACAGGTCTCTAATTGCCACACTGGGAACTTTTATTAAGTTAAATGTATGCATTCAATATCCTTCATTCTGCTTCTACTCGCTATTGATCATCCCGTTTTTTTTTTGTATGGAGAGCTCTGTGCTTTATTAGAGTCGGAGATTGCGATAATGGTGACGTGAGAATTTGTACTATCTAGAAGATTAAGTAGTGATTGATAGATTTCAATAAAATACATTTAATTTTCTTGACAGCGGCAAACAAGAAATGTTAATCATTGCCGACAAGTTAATAAATAGTATACATCTGTCGAAGAATATCATCAATATATAAAATAGGATCGTTTTTACTATCCATGCGAAATTAATATTCAATGTGCGTATTTATTTCTCCTTTTATTATGTACTATTATATAGTCTCTACAGTTTTCGCTCTCGAAATCTGTAGAAGTGAGCCGATATATCCTGAACTACTGTACAAAACGAAGAGTCAAAAATTACTGATTGATACTTTCGAATCGCATTGTCACTATTCTTCGACTGTAATGTATAATCGAGTTCATATCTATGTTCCATATTGCTTCCGAACGATGAACATTTCGATAGCAAATCCAATACAAGGCGAATCATTTGCGTCAATGTACGAACAAAATCGAACAACTGAAGAACTTTTGTTTCAGCATGCTTCACTTGATACTATTGAAGATTATGAAATTTATTCACTTAATCGTCGATTGAATAGGAGTAATCCTATCTCAGGTGAACATCTCTATCAACGATGTGGACCGTCGACATTTGGTGACACTTGTCAGTATCGATTTTTACTGAATGGTAGATTCTTACAAATAGTGCACGATACTTTCTATTGGAAACGCTTTCATCATCCAAGAAATATACTCATGATTACAACTGGAACTTGTTATCGAGAACTTCAATGTGAAGGAAGCGTCGTCTGTTTAGATTGGAGAGAAGTTTGCGATGGTAAGTTCTTAGTTGATACGACCTCTAAATTTATCAATTTTATCATATTATATGTTTTCTATAAGCTCATACTTATTGATTCGAGAACAACTGCTTTGATACGATATAGTAAACTTTTAGTATCTATCCAATATTACAATTTCAGCACTTTTTGAGAATCCGTTACCGAAAATGCGATGAGCTGCTTGAAATCAACATTTTCACTCTTGGCTTCATAGTGTTGCATAGAATCGAATTTTTCTTTTTCGCAGGATATGTTCAATGCCCTAATGGGGAAGACGAAGAACATTGTCATCAATTGGAGATAAACGAATGTGACGCATTAACAGAATACCGATGTAAAAATGGCCATTGCATTCCACAAGAAATGTTATTAGATCGAATACCCGATTGTCTAGATAAAACTGATGAGATTCATGGTATTAACGAGTTTTGTCATGGTTATATGGATTGGTATTGTGATAATAGCATCTGTGATTCGTATTTGAATCATCACATCTACGGTACGCCGATGGCATTCACTTGTGGTGATGGTCAGTGCCGAGAGATGAGCAACGTCGACATAATTCGACCAGCAGCTGGTGCCAGTGCCTTAATTTGCGGTAGTGGTCGAGATATATTGTACACGCAACAGCTGTTCTTATCAAACAATGATTGCTTTGAACATATCAAATGTACATTGAAGTTTTCTTTCTTTCAACAGGAATGTAAGATAAAATGTACTTCGCAATATCAATGTTCCAGTCGAATACCAACTGTATGCGGTAACCTTTCATACGCTATCTTTCCAACAAAGCCCGTATTTGATAATCATGTTTTCTTCGTTTATAAACTCAATCCGATGACACTGTCAATGACTAATTATATACCGTCGTTGATATGTTTTGATTCAAAAAAATGTTCCCATTATCAGACAACTATCAATGTGGATGGCAAAACTTGTTCAACTGTAGATCAATTGAAAGAATTTCGAGACTTAGGACGTTCATTAAGCTGGATTGGCATCCACACAGCTCTGTATACCGTCTTTGGGCGATGCGCCTCATCAGGTACCAATGATGAATTCAGTAAATAAAGTTACTTTACGAAGGTATCCATGGTTCGGCAGAATATCTGCATATTAAAAGCAAAGTCAATATTCATATATTATTAGAAGTATTAGAAAAATATTGTGATTGAAAGAATTCTGCCCATAAAATAATCCTACATGTGATTCTCGAAGACAACATAATGATGATTTATTGTACTACAAAATTATAGCGCAAAAATAAATTAGAATATTGTATAAAATAACTAGATATTGAAAAGGATCACATATAATGTTTCAGGGGAAACTATAGGTACACTTTGAACACGTTCATAACAGTTGGGTTTTAATTTCAATACCTTTCTTGTCTTTTAAAGCATTATATTTAAGAAAATACTGGCATTTCCGATCGTGAAATCCTTCTTATATTATCCATTATCTTGCATTGAATAGTCTTAGCATCGAACAGTATGATTCTTTTAAGAATATCTTCAGGATAATGAAATTCTCTCATTTCTCATTCTATGTCGAGGTTTACAGAGTTCATATACGGTGGTCAACGACCTTGCTTCTTTAATCTGGAATATCATATGAACCGATTGAAAATCGCCGCTTAACCATGGTTAATCGACGGTTTTCGATCCGATTGCATGATATGGGTCATCTGAGGGCTTATGTTTCTGTAAATTTATTTGTTGCTTTTAGGACTAATATCATATAATTTTTCATCTTGTGGTCATTCATCTCTATTCCATTGCACCAATTCGTCGAGGTGCATTTCTCGTCACCGAATACAAGATGGTTCAATTGATTGTTATACAGGTGACGATGAAATAGCCAATTATATGTGTGATCAATTACCGCATCGATTTAGTTGCAATATTGATCAACGATGCATACCACGTCGCTTTCTGATGGACTATGAAAAGCAATGTACAGACGGTTCCGATGAAGCTTTTGGTTTTCAATGTACTGAATCTCTCAGTGAGAATTGTGACACTCTTGCGGGACGCCGAGATACAGCAAAGGAAAACACATTCTCTATCATATGTAATGGTATCCAAGAAATTCGACCAAAGTTCGAAGCAGATGATACTGATGAGACTGATTGCACTGAATATTCGTGCATGACGCAATATACGCTCTGTAACGGCGTTTGGAACTGTGTAGATGGACGCGATGAAATCTTCTGCGACAACGCTTTGTCATCAATGCATTGCGATGTAAAAAGTGGTGAATTTTTTTGTCTTCAATCGATCAATCATACGATAAGATATTGTGCATCGGTGAAGACGATCAATGATTCTCAAATTGACTGTATTGGCTCAAGTGATGAACGTGATTTTTGCCGTAAACAATATCCCTTCGATTTTACTCGACGCTACAGATGTAAGTTATAGATTTTCACAAAATTATAAAAAATATATCATCAATATTTTTTAAGCCAATAGATTTATCAATTCAGTATATTTTGTTTTTCGGAATAGGCTATATTCCATCATCAAGAATTTTGAGAAGATACATTTCTTTGTCTATTCATTTGTTTAAAAATCTCTTGTTATCATAGGTAAAAATGCTTCAATCTGCATCAGCCCATTGCAAATTTGTGATTGCCATCGAGACTGTCCATTGAACGATGATGAGGAACTACCATTGTGTCCTTGGAATATTGCTTCATGTTCTACCAGATTCTTTCCGTGTAGTAACAGCGTATCAGGACAGGGGGAAATTATCAATATAATCTATCGTTGCGATGGTTTAGTACACTGTAACAATCATGAAGATGAATGGCTATGTGATATAATTGATCAAAGTGAAACTCGTACATTTACATCGAAAAATCTACTCGATTTCGTACCGATTCTTCCAAAAAATACTAAGAATGAATTGTCACAGAATGTTACACTTAGCTGGTATTGCAACAGAGGTATAGCGGTCAGCTCAACAGTCCGAGAAAATGAAATTAAATGTCTTTGTCCGTCAGCCTATTATGGTGATCGATGTGAATATCAAAGAAAGCGATTGAATGTCATTCTGGAACTTCAAGCAACAACGCTGATCGTGCATGCAAGCGTCTTCAAATTACTTATTTTTCTAGTTCAAATATCCACTGGCTATGTTACCTATTCTGCAGAATTAATATATTTGCCTTTTGTCCAATGTCTACCAAAGTATATTGTTGATTTACTCTACCCTGTCTCATGGCAAATCAAAGATCAACATTATATACGTATCAGCATCTTTCATTTAACTCAGCAAAGCAAGCAGATTGACTATCGAGGCTCTTGGTTTTTCGCCATCGAATTTGAGTTTCTTCCCGTGAATCGGCTGGTCTCTAAAATCACTCTGACAGAAAATAGCAATCCAAACATCCTCCGAAAGTGTACTCATCTTTCATGCGTTCATGGTAGATGTGAATCGTACTTGAATGAACCACAACATTATTTTTGTCAATGTGAACCATCTTGGTTTGGACGTTTATGTGATCTACAGAATGCTGAAAAATGTAACTGTGCACCGGAATCAATTTGTATTGCTCCTGAAATTTGTATTTGTCCATTAAACAAAATTGGATCTCGTTGCTATGTTCCGTTTGATCCTTGTCAAGTTCAACCCTGTGGAAAAAATGGCATTTGCGTGCCATCAGATGTTCGATCAAATCAGTGGACATGCGTTTGTGATGAACAGTTTTTTGGAGAGCGATGCCAATACAATGCATCAAGTATCAATGTGCATTTCGCTCAGAATATTAGGATTCCTGGCGCCATTCTAATACATTTTATTTCCTTGTCTAATATTAATGAGAAAAAAGTTCATTCATACTTTCGGTCGATTGGCCTTTGGCAAAATGATGCAATAGTCTTCTATCCAGAAAAATCCATGCCGAATTTAGTTTTCGTGCAACTTTTCGGCGATCTGAATACTAATCCATTACATTTAGTCTTTCTTAATAATGAGGATACAGTAATATTATATAATCGAATTCATGTCGAAGTATCAAAAAACAATGAATGCCCTGCAATTAGCAACATCTTTGGTTCCACATTTGATCAATTACCATATCTTCGTCGTGTGAAGCAGTATCAACGTCCATGCAAGAACACGACTACTAGAATTACATGTTTTTATGACGAGACGCACATTTGTCTATGTAACAAACTTGAGAAAGTTGATTGTATACCGTTCGTCATTGATAATAGTACTGCTCAATGTCCGATCAATACAAATCCATGTAAAAATGGTGGTATATGTATGCAGGATGAGAACCAATGCCCCAAAGCTAGTATTTGTGTATGTCCGGAATGTTCACACGGTCGTCTCTGCCAATTTTCTGCGAAACCTTATTCTTTATCATTAGAAGGTATTATCGGACAGTTTATTAAATCTAATGTCAAATTTTATCAACAACCACATTGTATTTTCATGTCTCTCACAATAGCTAGTGCCATTTTTACGTTGGGCTGTATAGATACTATTTTATGTTTGATCACTTTTAGTCAGTCATCTCTTAGATCAACTGGACGAGGCTTCTACTTATTGTGTTTATCATTGGTTTGCTTAGTGAATATATCGGCTTGTTTTGCACAGATGTTGCGTTTACTGATCGAGCAAACCTCTAGTTTTAGTTCTTATCCAGGCTGTATCATCACTCACTTTATCCTGAAAGCTTTTCCCATTATGATCAATTGGATTCAAGTCTGTGCTTCGATTGAAAATGTCGCAATTGTTTGTTTTGGCTTACGGTATCGAAAAGAATTGAGTTATCACGCAGCAAAATATGTCATCGGACTAATTCTTTTACTCAGCTTCATGATGACCATTCATGATTCATTTTATCGTCATTTATTATATGATGAGTTTGAACATAGAACTTGGTGCGTTGTATCATTTCCGTCAAAATGGCTGAAGTGGTACGATTCATTTATGACAACTATTCATTATGTGGCACCATTTAGCATTAATATTTTATGTTCAATAGCTATCATTATTCTTACAGCTCGTATTCGAGCGAGAGCAAATCATAGTTATAAGAAAACATTCTGGAAAAACTTAAAACAAAATAAACACTTACTTATTAGTCCCATTCTATTGGCACTATTTGCCATTCCAAAACAAACAATTGCATTGTTAACAACATGTATGAAATTCAATGGACGTTCAGAACCTTACTTTATAATAATAGTATTTTATGTTGGTTATCTACCAAGTATACTATCCACTGTTGTTTTTATTTTTCCGTCGAAAACATATAGAGAACAACTCTGGCAAGCGCTGCAACACTTGATCAGACCTTGCCGTATTAGCAGACTGAGTTGATTCACTTAGTTTCCTAATGAAATATATTTTAAATATTTTAGTCAATTTTTCATTTGTGTAATATCAAAAATGAATTTGAAACTTCAAATAAATGCTGAATTGAATCTCACAACTGTGTGAACATTTAAATAGAGCTGCAATAGTATGCAAGATTATCTCAAAGTATAATACAAGCTCCTAAATCTACTTGTCCAATACGAAATGATGCCAACATTTGTTCTATGGAAATTTTACTGTATGGCGACGTTGTTTTATATTCTAGCATTTTTAAACGATTCTTAGAGAGGTACAGTTAGGTACGTCTATGATTCAGTTATTATATCAACTGTCTAAATAAAAAAAGAAATGTTGACGAAAAGAGATAAAACTATACACAGAATTTTAGATCATAGAGAATTCTGTAACACCTTGGATTGATCATCATCCAGAAAAAGGAACTTTTAAGACTAGAATGAAAAATTCATATAGTATAAATTTACTGAATCTCACTTTCTACTTCAGCAGACTGAATCAAAGATGAGAAATCGTGCTTCTTTACTTCTTCACTTTCTCCGGAATGGCTCCTCGAGAATTAAAAGTCGCAAAATCTCATTATAGGGATCTTTCCTTCCGCATAATTTCAAGTATTTATATCTGTCACGAAATCATTGTAATCGTCAATTTGTACAACATAGATATTTATTTAACCAAACTGATTCAACAAAAAAACATAATTTCAGACTCACACCCAACTCATATTTATACCATTAAATGGTAACCGCTCACTTCGTCGCACGACATTTCGTCGCAGAAAAATTTCTTTCGCTATCCTCATCACTATCCATTCGTTGCATCTTCTCTCTTGATTAATTCTTTTTTTATTGAAAGATAAAAACTTGATGAGTTAATATTTATTTTGTGAATAAGACATAATATAATAATGAAAGCATTGAGAAAAAAATAAAACAAGAAAATAAAATCTAAAAAAATAAATAATAATTTTAATTTTAATTTAAAGAAAGAAAGAAATTTAAAGAAAAAAAAGATTTAACGAGTAACGTTGACTGCGAGATTTTTTAAGAATTCATCCAGTTGAGATGCGCCGAATCCGTTGATCAGTCGAGTAATACGTTCGCCCAATCTTCGGTAGCAGGCCTCTTCGTCTTGATATTGTGACCTTGGAGAATCTTCGTCATGCTCACTTCAAAGTTTGATTGCTCACGACGTATTCCCTCTACCAGTTTCACGATATTTGGATGATTAATTGAGACGCGATTAACGAATGCATTGTACCAGCCTTCGACCTAATTGTTGGGTCGAGGTACTGTAGCGATGGCACGATCATAAACATTCCATAATTTATGATCAAATCGGGGCTTCTTTCTACCAGTTCCTTAGAAAGTCGAGTATATTTAAAATTTCTCAAGAATGGAGAAAAAAATTACCTCTTCTTTTTGGTTCACCGATCCACATTTTTTCAAAATAACCGTGTAAATCCTCGGAGGCGTCGTCAAGTTGGTCACAAATTAAGTCGAAGCCAATTATAACTTGATCTAGTGAAACAAAAGCAAAAACAATCAATTTTTTTACAGTTAAACGAAAATACTCATCCTCGTTATATTTAGTTGTTAACCCTTTCTTTGAACTTGTCGCCATACTGCTCGTGAAAAATGAAAGAGACAGCTTAGAAAAAAAATGTTTCAATTACTTTTTTTAATTAACAGATTGGAATGTACCTTTGTGTAAAACGTTTGGCAACATGTCTTTCACTGGCTTGATTGTGCAGTTTTGAAATCTGTCATAATCGATTCAGGTTGGAAATTGTCTTGTGCTAACACTTTTTCGAAGAATAAATGGTAATCTTTAGAGCTTTTACCAATTAATAACCCATAGACGAGAGGAATAATTGCATTGGTCATCAATGCATGTAGTGTGAAGAGTTGATCATAATCGTCGAGATGCATCTACATGAAAGAAAATTAGAAAAGAAAAAGAGACATTTAATTGATAGTTCACTTTGAACGTTCCATCAGCGAACCAATATTTGCTTTGCTTTAGAATAAATAAATTAGTTTTTGTTGTAAAGATAATTAATTTTTTGTTTTCGTGCAAGATGAAGTCTTCATCACGATATGTTTTTCTCAACTTTTCTGGTAAACAACTATTGACATCGACTGTTGCAGTAGTATGTTGCCGTCAAATCATTGGCATAAGTGCTTCGTTTTTTAGAAGTTCACCAGCGGCACTTAGTTTATATGCACGTAAGGCTGAATGAATAATTGAACTGGGTGATTCATCTGTTACTATAGCACGAGCTTTAATATCATTTTTTTAATTGAGTAGCTGGAACACGATCAGGTTGCGGAGCATGAGAATGATATGTTGGTTGTGAGAGAAATGCATCCATGGATAAATTGGTGTGACAACGAGCTTGATTGATAAATAATTGCCATTAAAATTAATTGATTGATGTTCAAAGCGAAATTTCCTTTGGAATCTCGATTCTGACATTGAAAAATTAATTTCGTCGTTGTTGTGCATTCTACAGTATAGATGTGACCTTCATGGAGAATCATTGGTTTTCCTTTTACAGAAAGGAGTTTTTTGATTTGAGACATTTTGCTTGAAAATTAGTGTGTAGTGAAAGTTGAAATTGAGAAGTGAAATGTATTTTCTTTTCACTTGATCTAGTTCCATAATTAAGGACATTGGATCAGTGTTATTTTATGTTTAGATTATGTAAAAATTCATTAAACAAATGACAAATCTAATCATTCTTCGTTCGCTTTAGCCCTCTCATGACTGCATTAGAATAATATGTTTTATTGATCCGTTTTCCCAATTAATTATCTATCACTATTATACATATCTCTCTTGCAATTTATCATTTATTTTATATTATTTTGATTTATTATAGAAAACAAAATTCATTAAGAGAGATGAAATGAGTAGATAGCTACGAACAGAACGCGACGAATTGTTCTGTGGCGAAGTGATCGTGCAACCAAGTGAACGCGACGAAGTGTACTAGTGCCTATTAAATTCTTTTCCGTGCCGCTGTTAATATTGCTTGATCGATAAGAGGAAATAGTTTATCAACTTTCAGATTAATATTGGCATGATTACGAAGAGCAGCCCAATCCGTGTTTTTAAATTCTGATGATAATGTAAAGTCATCAGAAGCATTCACTGGATAATGAATTACATGTAAATGAGATTGAAAGTCCCATACTTGGGCTTCCATTCGACCTGGCGTATAAACATCCTTCGACAACTGAGGATAGCTTGAGACAATCAATGTAGAATGTCGAGGAAGTACAAAAAACAACAGAGATATACCACCACAAGGAGATATAGCCACAGTGACTGTCTGAAATAATGCTAATTGTTGAGTAATCGACACATTTTTAAAATCATTCACAATCGTAACTTTAATATCAGAATAACGAGGAGTAGTCAATATCTTGCTATAGATTTCATTCATATTGTTAAATCTACGTCTGCCAGTTTTATTCACAAGCATAATATGATGTTGTTGAGGAGTTGCGTTTGGATTGATTCCATGAGCTACAAGAAGTTTCGATCGAAACTCAGAGAAGACTTCAGCTCGATTGAAGTTATTTGGACCCCAACCGACGGCACCCGTAGAACCATGTCCAGCAACTAACTCTCGAAAACAAATGCGATTCGAATTCACTGATGAATTGAATAACGAACTGATTGATTGAACTTGATGAGATGTTATGACAGGAAAGATACCTTCAGTAAATTTTTGGCACAATGAACTTAAATTACCAGGAAACTGTGAGCATGATCGAAATACAAGCACATGATTTTTCTTTGGTGAGCTGTAACGTGTAGCTCGAAACTGTTTCAAATTTGCAAACAACCCAAACGCATCATCAAAGATCACATGACCAAAATTCATATCACCATCAGGTAATATCTGATAAATCAAGTAAGTATCATCAAGATAGCTGAGATTACTATTGGGATCAGTTTGATTCTGATGATTCATAGGAATTGGATGTACTTCAACCGTACTCAGATCACCAGAAACATGCCGAGCAGCATGTCGTAGAGCCAAAAACGTATTATTCGAACGAATTAATGTTGTGGCCAAAGATTTAATAGATGACGGATAAAAATAATCGATGACCTACTTTGAACTTGATCCACTCTGACGTAGACAAACATTATGAAATATACATTGTCTCGAAGACCAAGAGGCTTCTGTATGGAAATCGCCAGGATTTCCATTCAAACATTGAAAAGAACTATAAAACCAGTTCAGAGCATTGCTATTCAATGGAACACCAAAACTGATTGAATAATGAGCAGCAAACGATGGTGGTAAAGGAACATAAGTGAAATTTAAATCACCGAAACGATACTGGCCATTGATAGGATTCGAAATAAATACTTTATTCGTTGAATTGTGGCAATAATTATGATAGAATAACAACAAAAGCAAGATGATACTAATTGAAATTACGTTCTGCTTATTACTTGTGAATGTTGATGCATATATCATGGTCTAACTAGATAACAGTGAGAAGATAGTCCCACTATCACCAATGATCTAGAATTCTGATAAAATGTTGTTAATAATTTCTCATCAGACTGGTATCATTTTTCAAACTTGGATAAACGTGTCTCATACATACATTGATAAAAAAAGCGCTGAATGATAAACGTTTAAAAGCGTTTATGAAAATGCAACGTATGATATACCATTTTCTACCGTTTAGCAGCATGCGATAAATCATTTGATCTACCCATCAAAAGACGAAATAAAAAGGTTTACCAAGCGAATATACTGCGTGTCGAAAGGTTTATCAAGCGAATATACCACGTGTCGGAAGGTTTATCATAGCGTTTATACCACGTGTCGGAAGGTTTATCATAGCGTTTATACGACTCAAAAACTTTAAAAGGGTGCATCATACGTTGCATTTTCATAAACCCTATCGAAGGTTTTAGAGAGTACTCTAACAAGTTATTTATTTATTTATTTATTTATTTATTTATTCTTATACATTCTTGTTTCGTCTTTATACGTTATGTATTTCTTATATGGGCAATCCAACTCGAGATGTACATACGCCAACCGCTCTTTTTCATTCTTTATTTCCTCTCTCTGGATATCTCTCTATTGTGTCTTCTATCCTCCCGTGCGTGACAGCGTAAATAATGGCATTGTTTCTTCGACTGGAATTTAAGTGCATCCATAGAATGATTCACCATCATCTTTATATACAAAATAGTCTAGTTGAAGAAGCAAATGCCTTTTCTTCCTTTGTTTCTTTTATCTCTCTCTCTCTCTCTCTCTCTTGTGTGTGTATGTGGGTTGTATAGTATAAATAGGACGAAATAGCTGTTAGCGCAATCCCAGTGGGATTAAAATGTGAAACACGATAAAGCTCGTTTTCTGGAATCCGTCTACCACGGCCTGTGACGGTCTGTGGAGCTTCTTTGTCACGGTCTGTATCTGTATTATGGTGTATGAAGTCTCTAGAGACAATCGCAGATCGTTGCACAGACTTCAGAAGCCATCACATATTGTGACAGAGAAGTTTCACAGGCCATCACAGACAGTGACAGAGAATTCAGACACCATCACAGACTTGACAGAGAGGCCTCAGAAACTATCACAGACCGGGTCAGAGAAATTAATTAATTAGTTAATTAATCAGCTAACTAACTAATTAATTTCTCCGTCCCTATCTGTGGGGGGGGGGCGAGGGGGTCCAAATTTTTATCCTATATACTTCAACACTCCCTTCAGATCGTGTTTCACAAAACGATGGGCATCTTACTATTTCTTTTCATCAAGTTAGCGCGTGGGTGACTGTATAAAATAACATTAACCAGACACAGACCCTCACACCGACACCCTAAGAAACCATTTTTGACAAAAGTAAAATAATCAACCCCTGTGCGTAGAGTAATAAACTTTTCCGATCAAACAGTAGAACAATCGATCTCTCTACGTAGAATGATAAACCCTTTCGATGAGAGAGCGGAAATATCAACTCCTGTACGATGAACACTGAACTTCTTTCAACAAAAGAGAAGTAGAATCAAGTATCAACCGACGATAAAACTATCCCTTGAGATGCTAAGGTAGATAAGCCGATATTTGTCAGTAGAATAAAAGAACCTGTCAATGAAGAGGCATCGAATTGAGCATTCACGTACAGTACTAAACCCTTTTTATTAAGATGTAGATAAATCAACTGTTAAACATGGAATACTAAACCCTTAGCAGGAAATGGTAGCAGAATCTATCCTTAGGCGTAGAATAATGAACTGTTTCTGAGAAGGGTAGCTTACTCTACGCAGAAAGGCAGAAGGATGTTCCTTTTTAACGAAAAAGTAAAATAGTAAACCCGATAACGAAGAATAAAATACTCCTACCTTGAAACTGAACAGCAATCTACTATCATCCGTTGACGGATATAATTACTCTTATCTTAAAATCGTAGAATAATGAATCCTTATGTGCCCATCATATACCCCTTGAGTTTTCATAAACCCTTCGACTAAGAAACACTAAAAGGGTTTAATGGAGACTTTTTTAAGTGCAGGAGTAAATCATTACCCGGATTTTTTTATCAGTGTATGAACGACTTCGAACCTGAAGATCTCATATCTAGTGATTAAGCTATTGATTTCGATTGAACGTATAAAAACAGCTTATGTTGTTGTTTATTGTACTTAATTCCACAGGTTTCGTCAAGGACCAAAGCACACTATGATGATATCTGACAGGCGAAGTATTACTACGAGTACAATCAATGCATGAAGAAAAAAAAACTCAAGAAGATCGAGATAGTTCATGATATATAATTTCAACAGCAGGAGCATACGAATGAAAACTGTATGGTGTTTATTGTACTTTACGGCACACTCTTTCACAACATATTCTGAAATGGTGGTTCGAATCGGGAATGTAGTGTATTTTTTCCTTTTTCTATTCAATGAATAGTTTTTAGTTTTCGTTATCATACTTATTAGTGTTACCATTCTTAAAATTTCAGAAGATCAGGTCTTGATATCACTCTATTTTAGTTAAATTGCTTCAAGACAGGCATCAGCAGATAATCATATTATTATTCGGCATGTTTCAAGTAAGAACTACTCGAAAAAGACTGTATAAAAAAGAAGAATGAAAATTTATAACTTCACTATACTTCATTGAGTTGATTATTTATAGATGTATGCGAAAAACAGAACTATGAATAGGGAATCAACAAAAAGGTAGATAGTCATTTAAAATACGATACATTTCTTTGTTGAATCAGGTCTTGAGTGAATATAAAGTGAGTAGCTTGTCATGTATAAGTTTAGCTTATTCGAAAAAACGGAACTATTGACTCAATCAAGGGAGAATTATGACTATCCTTTCATCATATCATCTTATTACATTATACTAAATTAAGGATTCAGAAGAAATCTTTTTTTACTTACATACATAGCAGACACAAAAAATTTATCTAGATTCGCGCTCAAAAACAATGTCTGCTCCATAACATCTTTTCTTAAACTGACTTCCCAGTGAAAACTTTTAGAGATTAAAATCGATTATTCGTACTCGACAATCGACTGAGAGTGATTTCAATTTCGATTATAATCGATTCGCCCAATTGCGATTGATGAAAGGTAGCTCTTGTAAGACTCACACGCGTAAGCTTAGTTATATATTAAGAAAATGTTTTCAAGGAATATCAATCGGGCAGATCAGATAGTGTCGTTTAGGGAAACTGGATCTCATCAGTACTGTTACTGTGAAGTAAAGAAACTTGCAAAAATTATCACCAGTGCTTTTTAAGGAGCTAGTTAACTGTTGAGTCGAAGGAAGAGGCCATCTATAAGAGTGCTTCTCGAACTTGCCCCTAGATTGCATAGACATAGGATGGAGTCGTAAATTTCCCATAAGTTATATTCTTAAAAAATACTATCAGCTCACCGACATCTAGCTTTTCTAAATACCATTGAAAAACTTTCAAAGTCGACTTTCTTATTCAAACTGAATAGTTAAGCGAAGAAGTCAAGTATCAGAAACAGTAGATGTCAATGAGTTGATATTATTTTTTAAGAATAGAACTTATGGGAAATTTACGGCTCTATTCTATGCCTATACAATCTAGGGACAAGTCCGAAAAGCATCCTTATAGATGGAGTCTTCCTTTGACTCAAACGTTAACTACCCAAGTGAGCAAAATACTGGTTAAATGACTAGTCTTTTTTCTAGTCGTGTCGCTCCGTCTCGACTAGTCTTTGTCTCAAAAAGTCCTCGTCTGGGACTACCCAAGCAGACAAATTTTTTCAAAAACGCGTTTAAACACTCAATCGGGAGCCGCGATTGTGGGTCATTGATGCTCATTAATGAAACGCAAGAAACGCGTTTTTTACGCAGAATTCTCACTTTCCGAACGCGGAAACGCATAGAAACTCCAACTTTGAGCGTTTAAACGAATTGGTTTTTACTTTTTCCAATAATTGTGCGGTTAAACGCTCGGAATTGGAGTTTTTATTCGTTTTCACGTTCGGAAAGTGAGAATTCTGCGTAAAAACGCGTTTCTTGCGTTTCATTAATGAGCGTTAATGACACACAATCGTGGTTTCCAATTGAGTGTTTAAACGCGTTTTTGAAAAAATTGATCTGCTTGGGTAGTCCGAGGTTTTGACCGTCATGCATACGCGTCCTAGTACTTTGATTGGCGACTAGTCATAAAATCTAATAAGAGTAGTCGTGGCGAGCGTCTGTGTCGCTCGTCTGAAAATGGTTTATGATTGAAAAATTAAGGGCGTCTGGGACGAGTATACAACCAGCTGTAGTCTTATATAGTCGACGAGTCTGGACTAGTCTGAATGGAAATATGTAAGGATGAAGATTAGATTCGAACATGTATACAATGTGACACTTACCCATCGCCAGAACCATTGAGCCATATGATCGAGAAGTCATATTCTGCACACTCACGACCATTCTAAGATGCTATTTAATACAATTTTTATTCCAAATTTTTAATTTTATTTATCAATAAAAATTATCTTTTACCGAAACGAAATTACTTTAGATAGCATTAAATAAAAGCAAATTAAGAAGATTTCATAATCTTTTCGGCAAATATATTTTGATTTATAAGCAAGTGCGATTAATTAGTTGGGCTTTAAAAACATTAATTTGAGTATAAAAATAAAATTTATTTATTCCGGAAAGAAACTAGATTTTTCCATACTATTTTAATTTAATTTCATACTCAAAGCTCCGTACATTCATCTAATAAATAAATTATCTTAGCTTAATTTAGAATTATTACAATTGATATTTAACATAAACAAACATTATATTTTGATATGAAACGATTTAGGTGCTTCTCAATTGTTTTTAATTACTACGTATCACAGTTCAAAAAAAAATACAGATTAGCACTCCTAGATGCGAGATGAATTTTGTTGTTAGTACTAACCCTTGCTATTTTATGTTTTGATACACTCTTAAACTTTTAGCATAAACTAATGCAAAATAAAATAAAATATATCAAGACAGGGATGCACGCAATATATTAAATCTTTTCGAATGCACTATTGATTACAGCAGACGCTCTAATTGTTCTTCTAGCTAGAAAACAATTCGATTAGCATTGAGTAAAATAAATACTTCTTAAAAAAAGGACTAGTCATGACTCATGAGATGTCCAGAAGATGCTACAGACCAGTCCTAATAGCTGTTGAAGACATTTCAGACTAGTCAATACCGTTTAAGTCGGTTTGTTTCTGATTTTCTTTCCATGGATGGGAGTCAATAAATAAGTTTAGACTATATATACTTACGACAGTCTATCTCAGTGTCCTAGTCTGTCGCCAGGATATCCGTCATATCTCGAACACTGCCGGACTGGATGTTCAAATCCACTGTGTAACCTCTTTTTTTAATCTTCTTACTAGTCTGGACTGGGTCAGTAGACAACACGGACTAGACATGGCTGGGCTCAAGGACATTTCAGACTAGTACAGACGTGTTTGCAAGACACTCCTCATTAAGCTGACTAGACAAGACGGATATGAAAGACGTTCCAGACTAGACTTGACGGAAGCTGCGGACATTTCTGACTAGTCATGTCGGCAGTTTCCCTTCATTTTTTGCTTACTTGGGTATACTATGGAATTTATTTTCATCGGCACTGCGCTTTTATGTATGTTGAATAAAACAAGATGAGCAAGATTACGTCAATACTTGAAGCTAAAAGTCGGTGCTACTTTGTCTACAATGTAATTCTCCATGATATATCTATTGTTTATTTTAGCACCTTTCAATTAGTTATAATGAATCAAAGTAAAAAATAACCTACGGAACAAAAATAAAATGGTCGTCATTTTTTAAAATATTTGTTGATAATACTATACGACGCATGCGATAATATGGATAATATATTTTTATCAAAAATCTACAGTAAACTCAACTTTTCTAGCACGTACGTAAGAGATGGAATCCACTGAAGTTCATGAGATCCACATAAAGGCACCACAAGTAATATAGAAGAACATGTCCGACCAAGTGAATACAGCAAAAGAAAGAAAAGCTTAGTGTGGAGAGTGTGAAATTAAAAAAAACGAGAGAGATAAAGCAAGAAAACGACAGAAGCACATTTGAAAATGTCAACTAGATCTCGTTTAGAGCTTCATTTGATAAAACGGGAAAGATGAATAGAAAAACTTTGAAAACTTATCATTCATCATTCTTTATAATTTTCCTTTCCGACCAAAATGAAAAAAAGTAGGGAAAATAAAAAACACTGTTCTTTCCAAAAAAATTTTAAAAATTCCCTTTTCTGTGTTCGCGTTTCTCGTTCCCAATTCCCACGAGAAATGAGACGGAAAAATACGAAAAAAGATTGTTTCTGTGGGATCCTAGTAAACAGTACACTGCGTCTTACCATTCGCCATTTCAAACATATATTGTGAACAAATGTCTATTATTAATACATTCTCATCTAGTAGTCTATAAAATTTCATCGAAAATTTTTTAATTCGAAATAGCAATCTCTATAAATGTCGAGTCTTCTGATAATGTATTCTCATTTCCATATATCAAGTTCCCTTGTTATCTTATTAAGAAATTCTGGTTTTCCCATTCAAATATCATCAGAATAGTAACATAAAAATGTAAATAAACCGTACCAAGTAGACCTGTTTGACCTCTACATCTACAGCATTCAAACAGCACTTACTATACTCAGAAAGAGGCGGAAGAAATTCAAATAGTTTTCAACTGATTTGGTAAAAAGTCTAAGGTTGAGCCCACTCCATCCTAAAAACCTGGTTGCGCCGTTAGTATACCAGAAGGAAATTTTGAGGTAAAAGCGAAATTTATCGAGACAGCATGAAATATGTACAAGTAGACTCAGATTTTTGTCCTGATTTCAGATAACACACCTTTAAAAACGCAAAGACGGATACTTGTGCGTGGAAATCGTGAAATACTACCATAAGACATGCGTCATTTGCTGTGATTTCTTGCGGTTGTATCAAAAGAGACTTCGGAGCCATCGAATTTCCAATTGAAAAGGATATAGCACGAACGATCATACAGCATTTCATTTTGACAATAAAAATCATGCTCATTGAGCCAAAGTATTTCCACTTCATAAGAGTATGCCACTTTTCAAAAAATTACGAAACTAGGGTGGCATTTCCAATTTATTGGTAGGAAAAAATTGAGTGTCCTAGAAGTTCTTATAGATTGCAATAGAGGGAAAGATTCTACATCGAATAGACCTATTTTCAACAAATGTACACTGAAACTTAATGAACTGTGAAGCCAAAAGTTGGGTTTTTTAGAGTTTCACAGAGAGTTGCAAATTTTTCTTATTATCCGATTATCCCCACAAAATGAAATGATATTTAAAATAAAACACTTCGGGTGATCAAAATGGCTAGAGCTGAAACAAAATAGCCACAAAAATGTTCTTCGAAATCCTTGGAGTGGACCTCAGGCATAAGAAGATGAGTTGTGATGAATTATAAAATAAACTTGAGAAAAGCAATCAAACACACAGATTGATTCTCAGGATACTAAAATTAAGTTGAAAATTTTTTACAACTATGATCGCTATTTCGCACATTTTAAAAACCCAATGTTTTTTCGCACAAGGTACTTGATCACTTAATTTTAACTGAATTAAGTGTTAACGCGAAAAGCTTAATACTTAATATTAAGTAATTCAGTGGCTAATGCAAACATCTTTCTATTAATATTAAGTGTTAAATTAAAATTTAGCATTTAATACTAAATTAACGTTAAGTGCCACCCCTACAGACAACAGTATTAGTAAAAGTTATGAAAAATAACAGAAAAGAAATTCTAGAGAAAAAATTTGGATAATTTTACCACCAATGATAGATCTCCTTCAATATAAACTATTTATAAATTTTATGACACATATAAGTGACATTTAGAATATTTACAATGAGTTTTCGAATCATAAGTTGAGTGCATCACCTGCAGTTCGAATTGGAGTCATCTATCATTGGACTAGATATCATTATAGGAAGAGATTCAAGTTGCAGTCATTACTACTTTGCAAATTCACTTAATATTTAGTATTTTAAATACAGTTACGATCCACTAAAATTGATTGTTCGAGCAAAATTCAGTCACAGCTGCAGTAATTAGAAATAATCGATTGATCATCACTCAATTCGATTGTGAAAGATTGAAATTTTAATGGATTGAGAAGATTACAATCGATCGTTCGATTAAAATTAGATTTTAAGGGGTAAAATCATCAATAATTGATTGAATAGATTGAAACTTCAATCGGTTGTTGAATTTTAATCGGATTATATTACAAAAAGAGGTAATTTGCTTCGAGAAATCGGATTTGTTCAACCACAATCAAAAATAATCACCATATTGCGAGGGGCATTTTTCACTGGGTTCACCATCTGCAATGACGGAAGCAATTGAAATTATGACAAGTGGCAAAACTGATAACCTATGGCGCAAAAGTCTTGGTACAAATTGTTTTTCTCAACAAGAACTTAACGTTGAAGCTAATCATATTAAAAGAAAGTACGTATACACATGTGCTAAAAATCAAAATGAGCAAGCTGCGAATGGTCCTTTGTCTGCGATTTTTCGTAATTGCTTTCTTATTGACGAAAACATCGCTTGTACAGACTTCATGGCAATTCTTTTCAGCTGTTGTTGTATCCTTCGTTTCAATTGGTCGATCGTTTTGACTTTACAATCACCACCATAAATCTTTTCTTCTAAAATTTGCCAAATTGTTTCAATAGGACGTGCCTGAGGACAATTCTGTGGATTTTTTTCTTTAGGTACCAACTTAATATTTTTCTCTTCGAAAAAATCGGTTACACTTGCAGCATAATGACTTGATGCCAAATCATACCAGAATAATACATTTTCAATATTATGATAGCTGTTCACAAACGGCATCAAACGTGCTTCAACACTTTTTTCAAATATGTTCTTTCGTTAATTGCTTGTGTTTGTTATGCAAAGAACGGTTTTGAAATACCTTTTTCAGATATGGCGATTCAGACCAAACTTTAGCAGCATACTTTTGAGTGCGTTTGAAGTTAATATCTGAAGGTGTGGTACTTGGATCTGATTCTAGGATCCACGATTAGTTGACACCGATTCATTGGTTAAAGTGAAATATTTTTCATCGTCCATAATGAGTTCAAAATCATTGTTCAATAATGTACGATATAAACGTCGAGTACTTGTTGGCATTGCTTCGATTTTTTTTCTGTGTATCGAGGAGCACGTTTCTTTTTTCGATAGTGTATGCCCATATCAATCAATTCACGCTGAATAGTCCTTCGATGAACATGAAATTTCTGCGTTATTCTTCTTAATGAAATACCGGTCTGGTGATTCACCAATCTTTTGAGACGTGTTCGTTGACCGGTAGAGATTTTTCGTGGACGACCACTTCTGAGTTTGTCTCCAATAGTATCACATGTATCATACTTCCAGATGATACGATAGATCGTTTGACGTGGAATATTTTCGGCCAAAAAATGATTAACAGTGATATTCTTCTTTTTCTTAGCTACCATTCTGTAGTGTTGTACAATACGCTTCACAAGTTGCTCTTTATCAGAACGAGGCATTCTTTTATAGAAATCAGTGTATGCATTCAACTATTATCGATTAGAAATTCTTCTTACGACCTCTTTAAAGAGTCTCTAATGAGAAAAAAAATGACTAATACTTTTGTGCCAAGATTTTCGCGCTATGGGTTATCTTTTTATTTAGTTGGCATATTAATGGTAGTTCTGAGAGGAGTGTGGGTGCGGGTGTTGGTACCGGTGAAGCGCATAGACACCTTCATCCACACACCCTTTAAAAAAACGATAAGTTTTCAAGAAAAATAGCCTAAAAGTAGAAAACCAGTATTCACCATTTACATTGGCAAAAGTACATTCGTACTATATATCTCAATGGAAAACTAGATATTGTACTCCTATCACACAATTCTATATTCTTCAACTCCAAGTATATAACACTATCGCTGCTAGAATTCGCAAATACTTACACTCCGACAGGGTGATATTCACTAGTTCATACCGTCTATCTTTCATTATCAAGTACTGCTTAAAAGCGAGTGAACCGCAAAATCACTTTTCTAACCACAAAATTTAATATTAATTACTTCTTGAAAAGTGAAAATTATGCTATTAAGCACTTCAAAAAGTATAGAAATGAACTTTATACGACGAAAAGTACTTCAAAAAGTATGGCAATTAATAAAATAAACTTTATAGGAGAAAAAAAATACTATTAAGCGCTTTTAAAAGTTGAAAAAGTCGAAATTAACACTGAAAAGTAAAAACTAGGGAAAATAGTTAACTTATTCTACTTTATTAATATTAAAAGTACTTAAACGTTGTTTTTTTCACTTTGTTTCTACATGGGATATATGCTACAAACCTGATCGATGGAATGATTAATTCCTGATACTATATTTGTACACCCCTCATCTGAAGGACAACATATATTTGAAAATGGATTGATTTCAAATGCGGATTCAGTATTTCCTTCAAGGCTAGGCTGTAAATACCGAATAGAGAAATATTTTGATATCCAGATTCTGTTCGTTTCAACCTATTTGTCTTCTGAAGATGCTGAGTAATACGAAACTGTTTACGTCTGTAAACTAAAAGAACGTCTTTTACGACGCGACTCTAATATAAAAGTAAGAAAGTGGAATAAAGAGAAAGAAGGAGAAATAAAAGGATATTATACGTATTGTAGTGGAAAAATATTTAGATCACGTAAATATTCTTCAAATAACTGTCGAGATATATAGAATTGCGTATATATCCTGATAGGATGATTGGCAACAAAGTGTGGATCGGTATCATCTATATATTTTAGCCACTTTGTGTATAATATTAACAACAATTCCACACGATCAGTCTATTCTTATCCGAAATGAGTTCTGTATGTTGTCTTTTAATACAACCGAGTACAATCGTACGTATTAGAAAGCACAACTTTCTTCTAACTTGACTTGTTTAGAACTGCCTCAACTCAATTGCCCTCAACTCTCGTATATATGTCGAGCTTATATATTCGAGAGAGAAATAAGAAAAATATATGTAGGAGAGAGAGAGAATAATGAAAATATAAATAGGAGAGAGAGAGAGAGAGAGAGAGAGAATAATGAAAATATAAATAGGAGAGAGAGAGAGAGAGAAATAAGATCCATAGAGAGAAAAGAGATATAGGGAGAAAAGCCAGCAGTTGCAGTATGCCTACCCAGCAGAATTCAGAATTCTGTAAACTTATAATATTTTTAAACAAATCAGTGCTTATACAATAGAATTCTATAGAATTATATATTGATACGATTAAAGTATATCAATTTTGCTCTTCAAAAGATATTAGAATTCTATTGTAGCTTGTTTGAATTCGGTTCAGAATTCTATAGAATTCTAGGGTAATGGAATATGTTTTGGGTAAACAAATGCGTTGGATATGTTGTTCGCTTGGCGCAAATTTGAAGGATTAAAGTTGTTTTCGTAAATTTTATGGATAGAGGATAGATTTTATATGAAATGAAGAGAACTTAAAACGTCTAGTTTAATTGAAAACATCGCCATTTCTAATTTATTTCAAACTTACTGATGTCTCTGGGAAACGTGAAATTTATACACAACAATGTTCTGCGCGCGGCAGAACTTCGAATTCCAATCAACACAATGTTTAGTGAAGGACTGGTGAAAACTATGGAGGCGTGGCAGCCGTCGCTGCGCTTGGATTTACTATCATGTGCGATCGCTTTATTCAACATCGTAGCAACTACTCTTGAATTCAGTCCCGTATCGCGTTCTTCAGATGGACGACATCATATTCCATTAAATATTTACAACATGGTTATTGGACGAAGCTGTTTGTAGATTATATTTTAATGTACTTTGTCCGAGTATTTTTCATTTTAGCTTTCGGTAAAAGTGATGCAACAAATTTCATCCGTAATATGCTGCATTCGATGTGCGTGGCTAATGATCAAAGCATGAACTTATGCTTGGATAAATTTACCAAAGTCGGACTCATGAATTGTTTGGATAAGAGTACGAAGATATTTATGACAGATGAAGCTGATATAGTGTTTGTGGATGCTGGTTGATTTAGTAGCTTTCCTAAACCTTCCGCCGAAAATAATTGTAGATGCATGTTTTGCGTTGTTATAATACTAAGCTTGATTATAAATAGATTGTTGTTTTAGCTTTAGTAATGATACTGTATGATCGTATGTTTTGTCCTTATCTGCGTCGATTAGCAAATAAGACAGCGGTTGTTGAAAAAAGCAAATAAAGATACGAAACAACTTGTTCATTAATTAGTTTGTTTAATCCTACAATCCTTACTTTAGCGTGGACAAAATATTTCATTCTCAATAATGCATGATATTGTTCTATGTTTGATATAGATGTCAATGTAAATGTTTCTTCTTTTCTCTCGTTTCATGATGTAATCATGATCAACTATCTTTGATGTGTATCTATTTCTTCTCTAGACATGGATGATTAAAAAAAGAAATTTAGAGATGAACAAACAATCATCATTATATCAACATATTTTTACGTCTCTATTTATTATCTCGTTATTCTGACTCTCGCATAAACTTGTTATTGAAATAGATTTTCGGTTTCTCATATCGATAAATTAAAAATTATCACTTCCTTGATACTTAAATACAATTATTGTTGTCATATTCCCCTTGATTTACTTTATTTTTACATTCTTTAAAATTTAAATTTGAGTACACCCTAGTCAACTCTCCCTCGAAGAATCCCCAGGGAGTCCCCTGACAAATCCCCAGGGAGTCCCCTGACAAATCCCCAGGGAGTCCCCTGACAAATCCCCAGGGAGTCCCCTGACAAATCCCCGGGGACTCACGACAGAGACTCTCCAAGGATTTCGTTATTTTGCGGGGAGTCGTCGGAGGAGAGTGGATTAGGGACACCCCATTGAAACAAATTTAATCGGATCTAAATTAGATTTAATATTTTAGAAAAATTGAATGCATCAAATATGAATTGAGAAGAATTAAACTTTAAAATGTTTGCGTTTTATTTTCTGATTTATTGAATTTTTGTGACTATGAATTCAGCATCCTTTAACTCAATGACATTGATAAATGGAATAAAGTTTCTTCTGTAATTCGAGTTTCTTCTGTAATCAAAGCCCAGTTACATCAATATCCTACTAACCAAAATCATATTTTAGTCGCTTTATAGGTCGTATCATTAGTCAATATCGGGTAATCTATACATGATTCACAATAATTATTATTAAAACCTTAGATTACACAAAAATTCTTTTTTTCGCACGCCAACAAAACAAAGCAGCTTCATAAGTAGTTATTATCTTTGCATTAGCCGTTACTGAATATCCTCTAACTACTCAATATTGATAGCAGCTCTTCATTGAACGCGACGAAATGCATTTTATTTCGGTGAAAGCTCAGTGAAATGATTTTTCTAAGGGAAAGCAAGTACTCTTGTTATACTCTGGCGCTCAGCAATAGTCTAAGTTCGAATTTGCTTTATAGAACGGCTTAAAATCATTAAGTTTTAGAAGACTGCGATTCTGAACTTGCATACAGAAGATTTGCATCACGCTGTTCGTGTTTTAAAACCATTCGACTAGCATACCTTCTATAAATCATTTCACATCGTTTCCAAAATAATGGAAAGGAATTAATTTTTGCTTAACTCACATGCATTGCATATGGAAATTGCTGTAACATGATAGATGCATTTTGCATCATTTCTGATTGAAATGATGCAAAACGTGTTTGAAACAGAAACGCATTACACATTTTTCTTTAAATTGTGACTCTAAAACGCGTTGTCTGCAGGCTGAAGTGCGTTTCACAGTGTTTCAATTCAAAAACGGTTCGAAACGCAATGTAGAAAAGAAACTTTTCAGATTGCTTCGAAAAATCAACGTAGCGAAACGCATTCTTTCTCAATAAAATGCTGCGAAAGGGATTTTGTCTTGAAGAAACGCGTTAAGTGGCCCGTTTCCTTCAATTTTTTACGCCATGGGAAGCATACTCCTCAACAATTGACTACAGTAAATCGCAAAATCTTTCATTTTTAAGTAAGCATTTGAGCTTTGTATTCTGCTACTACCGATAGAATTCTATTCTCCACTTATGGTAGCCCGTATGTTTATATTATGCTACTTTTTCGCTATGTACGAAATAACAAAATTCTGAATTATGCTGGTTAGGCATTCTGCTGGCCCTCTCAATTCATTCAAGATAAGAAAATAATAAGTTGTTCTGATAAATCCAACGATTCATTATAAAACACATTTTATGACAGAGTACCAACGTATTTCTTGATGCACGATTAGCTTCAACAAAAGACCTCAGTCTGATGATTACAACGATGATAAACAGTCATAAACTTTCATTAATGTCACCGCATACGACAGAGATGACACTGGTTTAGATTTGTTATGGCTGGTACCGGTATCAGTTTCATCTCTGATCTCTACTTAATTTTGAATCTAAAATACTTAGACATAACGATGTTTCACATTTAAGATATATAGATTAATTGAAATAGTTGCTTGTCTTTAGTTAGGATCTATATAATCCGTGTTCGAGTGTTATATCTGATCAAACGATTAATTAAAAATTTTCTCTCTCTATTACTTCTTCACAGCTGAGTATAGCCTCCAGCAAAGCAATTAGGCGAACATGACTGGAACACTATTCCATTGGGAAATAATAGTCTTGAACACAGTCCTTGAGAAATTCAAGTTCACAGACAAATCAATAAATTTTTATGGCTATAAAAATTTGCTACAATATTGATCGACAAAAGTCATATTTATATAGTAGTTTTTTCAAATCAAAGATTGCAGTTTTACAGAGCGAAACTCAAACTGTATCCATTGTTTTTACCGCGAGGTTGGACTATTTGGCCTGGCCACCTACACTCTAAAAAAAAGGTATTGTACGAAACTTATAAAGGATCTTCCGCCGGGCACACGGGAAGATCCTTTGGAGGTTCCGAAAAACCACGAGTTTAGCACCGAATCATTTCGCAACCTATAAAAAAAGGTTTCGTGCTATACCATTTCGATCTACACACCAAAACGTTCCGCAGATGAAGTTCAGTACAAAGTCTTACCATGTTACAGTAAAAGCATCTTTTCCAAATCTGAAATTATCCTCCAAAACGATTAAAACCAAACGCGAGAAATTGAACCAGAACTTTCTACACAGTCCGTTGTTTTAGATACCATCAAAACCAAATTTCGCAATACATCAAACATGATTCATTTTTGATCCCGTATAATCTACAATGAAAGCAAAAAACAATTAATCCTTCTTCATGAAATTCAGCTTACCTATTCATTACCACTTCCGAGTGAAACACCAAGTGTGACTACAGCAATTTAACCTTGAGTAATTCAATAAAACGTAATCTCTTTAAAACTCTCGCCTTCCCGTGAGTATGCCATGCAGAAACCATCTTTCAATGTACCGTTCCACCCAATTGATAATTATGCGATGCTTCACATGTCGATTTACACATTGTATTAGGAGAATCGATTTGATCTAAAATAGAAAATCAAATTCATTCAATCAGTTTTATTTTATATTTCAATGGACATACCTCATATTGAATATCATCAATTCGATCTAAAAGAAAGAAGCAAATTCATTTAGTTTGTTTCATTTTATACTTCAATGGACATACCTCACATTGAATATCATCAATTCGATCTAAAAGAAAGAAGCAAATTCATTCAATTAGTTTTATTTTATATTTCAATGGACATACCTTATATTCAACAAGATCAATTTGATCTAAAAAAGAAAACAAATTCATTTAGTTAGTTTCATTTTCATTGAAACAAACGTACCTATTATGAACACAATCCATTTGATCTAAAGAAAAGAAACAAATTCATTCAGTTCATTTTATTTTATGCTTCAATGAACACACTTCATATTCGATATATCGATTTGATCTAAAAGAAAGAAGCAAATTCATTTAGTTAGTTCCATTTTATACTTCAATGGACATACCTCACATTGAATATCATCAATTCGATCTAAAAGAAAGAAACAAATTCATTCAGTTAGTTTCATTTTCATTGAAATAAACGTACCTTATTATGAACACAATCGATTTGATCTAAAAGAAAGACAACAACTTTATTTAGTTTGTTTCATTTTATACTTCAATGGACATACCTTCTATTGAACGAAATCAATTTGATCTAAAAAAAAGAAAACAAATTCATTCAGTTAGTTTCATTTGATATTTCAATCGACATATTTCATGTCGAATAGGGTCAATTTGATGTACGATAGGATATGGTGATTGGGTGATCCGGATATGTATTGTTGCAGTGTTTATTGTTGGGAATTTCGATATTAACTGATCTGATCTAGGTTTTAGAAAAGTAAATATATTTATATTATATAATTTCATCGTGTTGGTGGTCATGGATAAATTTGAATTGCTTTTAAATGTAGAAAATCGACTCATCGAAGTACAATATATTTTTTTCTGGTAGAGGTGTAAATGACAGAGAGTTTTGTTGAAATCAATCTTGTATCAAAAAGGTAGGTATTTATTTGTAGTTATTTTTTGCTTAGATTCAATCCTGAGGTGTATGCTTTAATCGATCGAACATTAGGAAAATGAATGAAAGTACGTGACAGCTTATGTTTTGTTTTTGTTGTTCCTTCTTTTTTTATTTGTGAGTTGAATAGTAACAATAATTAGATTGTTGAACTAGATAGGGTTTTGAGGTTTTGAAGGTGAAGTGAACGGAGTGTGAATAAAATGGAATTGTTTTTGGCGCTTTCACACGATTATAGAAAAGCGTATGATATTTAAACTGTTGATGCGTGACTGGAAAACTATCTATTGAGCATCTTAACTAAATCGCGACCTATTATTCCGTAAATGATTGATGCCGGGGTTGTTTTTATGTTTCGTAGCGGAATGAATTTGGACTACATTCGTGCAGGATAGTCACTTTGAACTCATATGAAATTAGGTGTTTTCTAGAGTTTCTTATTTTTGGGTTTGTTGTATAAGGTAGGAGATTTGCTGAAAAAGTGCTTAGAAAGATCAAATATTCCCCTCTTTTTTAATAAAATGTAAAGTTGTCAATAAAATTTGAAATATAAAATTCGTAGATGAACATCAAGTAAAACTAATTATGCAGAACGAAGAGGAAAACTAAATAAAAGTCGTATGTCAAATGTAATTAGTTCAAGCGAATCCGTTTAGCAGCAAGTCGTTGAGATTGCTTTGATTTAACTATCGTCGAGGATGAGTTCGCTTCTGGTTTACGTTTTCGTGTAACCAGTGGAATGGTGTTTTTTGCTTTGCTGAATTTTATCAACTGCATTTTCTTGTTGATGTGCCGATGCTAATTTTTTCGAGGAGGCAATCGAAGTTGATTTTGTCGACTTTGTATTATTCGACAATTTTTTCATAGTTACTAGTGGTGTTGATGCAGTTTCACGAATAGCTCGTGAGCGTTCATCTTCAACGGTTGGAGTAGGTGGAGTAGCTATTGATAAACGATATGGATCTTCTTCATCGTCTGAACTGGATACTGTATTTTCATTATTTTCTGCAAGTTCATTAACAGATGCTTGATTAAAAGTGTTGGAGCCAAGGGGGGAACATCGTACTTTTGTACTTTAAGTACTTTGAGGTACTTTAAAGTACTTTGAAATGCTTTGAAGTACTTTGAGATACTTTGAAATACTTTTGTACTTAGTTGTATAGTTGAAAGTAGAAAATTACGACGTTCTACCCTTGGATAGGCTTTCATTCAGACACTAGAACATGTGCAATGGTATTGAATCTGCCTCCTACCCAGGTGAATGAATCCGACAACGGATCTTATCGAATCCTATGGGATCCGACTCCCTAGCAGAATCCAATAGGATTCCTGCGCATGGGTCTCTTGTCGGTTTCGACGGAAAAAATCATTTTCTTATTAACGATCAAGTAACCATTTTGAGCCATCAGAGCGCAAGGGTGATTCAATAGAGTTGAATTCCGTTTAAATCCGACATCGGATCCGGTCGGATCCAATACCAAGGATCCGAATGTAGGTCCGTGCCCAGGAATCCCGTAAGATTTCGTCGGCTTTATTGAAACATATATGATATTCGGTATATTCACTGTCTGACCTTTGTCGGAATCCGATAGAATCCTGCTGTCGGAATGATTCTCCTGGGTAGGTAAGCTGAGAACATATTGTTGTGATACAGTACAAGAAATTAATATTTTCTTTTGAAACGGGACACCCTCAAAATTTTCCTTAATTTTTGATTTAAGAAATTACCAATTCCTAGCTAAGCCAACCCTAGTCGAACATCTTGTAAGCAAGATCTTGGAATCTTGGGATCGGCAAGTAAGATCTTATTAAGATCTTAAAAAGATAATTTCTATGTACATATCTTGGTTGTATTAGATAAATCTGTACTTAAGATCTTGGCAAGATCATGGAAAAAATATCGTGTACTATTATCTTCCGGTAAGATCTTGAGCGAAACAGAAAGCGACATCATTAGTGTATTTACATGCTCTCTAGTCATTCACCGTTTTTTAAATGCATACACAGCTGTACATAAACAGCATGATTGAACATAGGAAATACAAATTTTCAAAATTTTTTTTCAAATATTTCTCGATTATTCGAGAGAATGCTGATCTCGATCGATGATCAGGAGAGGAATTCCCTAATCGATCCGACGGATATCGGACCAATTTATAGCCAGTCAGATCCCCACATCTGACTTGCTGGAATTCGGAAGAGGAATAATTAAAGTGAAAATAAATTGAAAAAATATTAAAGAATGCAGCAGGTATTATTTTAGTGTACATCCAAGATTTAATGGATTCTTACGTAAGATCTATAATTAGATCTTGTACCTGAATTTCCAAGATCTGTTAACATATCTGTACCTTGTATCTTGGCCAAGATCTTGCTTACAAGATGTTTGTCTAGGGAGACACTCTTATTATCAATGCAAGAAACGAGAAGAAATTTTGGGCAATTTAGTATTTTAAAGAATTTACTTTAAAGGATTTCCTTGTACTTCGAGGTACTTTGAAGTACTTCGTGATACTTTAAAGTACTTTAAAATACTTCGAGCTACTTCCAAGTACTTCGGGATACTTTGATGTACTTTTGTACTTTGAGGAGTCAAAGTACGATGTTTCCCCCTCGGTTGGAGCTAATAATTTTCAAATGTGAGAAGAATGTTTATTGTTGTCGAATTCTTTAACTGATTCACCAGCAACCTAAAAAAGCAAACATAAATCGCAATAGTCTTAAACGACAAAATCTCTGAATTAAGGTTTATATTTAAAAATAAAATTGGGTATATAATTAGTCGTGCATTGTGTTCTGCAAATCGAAGAAGTTATTCTATGGCTGTTATTTGGAATGACGAGGTTTAAAACTAATTTTCAAAAAGAACATTGAAAAAATGATATCAAGAGAGATCATACTCTTTCATGACGATTTATTTCAATCAGACAAGAAATAATTTTATCAATGATTTCTCTTCCAACGGAAGTACACAAGTAACATCATTCTATGTTGTCATATTACTTATACATGTACGTTCAGGGAAGTTGTTGGTAGTCACACCTATTTTATTGAGAAGCTTAATCTTGAAGTATCAAATTACTTTTTGAAACTTCTATTAGACAACTCAAGGTATATTGATGTCTGGTATGCGAAGTAAAAAAAATGAACAATATGCTTTACATAAGATTTAAAAATTTGATTTAGCCCAGATATTTACATGAAAAGATCATGTGCTAATATCTTTTTAAAATAATAATCTTGGCACGTTATTTCTCTTCTGTCCAACTAAATTAGGAGACTTACTCTATTTGAAGTATTAGATGGTGTCGAGATGTTACGGTTGACAATTGAAGATTGAGTTAAGTTTTGCACCATACTCGTGATTAATGCGTGTCTCTTGATGATTGGTTGATTGATAATTGTATATTTCCAATCGTTCAGTAAACATTTAAGTGATTTATTAAGATGACGCGAATCTTCTAGTAGGACAGAATATAAGAATCGACCGTATCTGTTATGATGGGTAAATTTGATTTCGAAAACGTAGTACATCGAGATAGTAGAGCAAGAGCCGCTGAGGATGACGAAGTTTCTGTTACCAAATGGAAGTCAACATACAGTTCGAATTTATCATCAGAAATTTTGATGCACGGATAAGGTACAAGTATATCGTATATATAAAGTAAAAAAAGCACATTTTATGATCTAAAAATGAACAAAATAGTTTACCTCATATGTAAAAATATTGCCGACTGGATCACCGAAAATTTTGCATAAAACACGAATCACTCTAAAAGGTAAAACATCTAAAATATTAAAAAAATTAATATTCTAATACTATTGAAGAATTACTTATTTTCTTTACAAGCGAAGTATACTACAGACTGCTATTCAATATTAAGCCTGATAAACATTAAAATACACCCTTTTTAGTCCATTTTTAAATTCATGAAATAATATGAGAAATACTTTTGTTGAGCATACAAAATTAATTTCTCTATGTCGAAATTTTTCTAAAAGTACTCACCAGACAAAAAGCAACCATTATCAGGTATACAATCGAAGAAATGTGGTAATAAATGATTCGTATTTGTATTAATATCAACACCAACAGTGTCTTTTACTTCAGCTAATATCTAAAAATAAAAATAAAAACTTGACACATCAATTAAGAAGATAGTTATCATGAAAAGTATAAGCACAACACTCTTTGAAAGGATAATTTAATGAATTGTTATTTTAGTCTTGTTTTTTAAGTGAGTCAAATATCAATGCTAGGTTTTAGAATGAAAGTATACAACTACTTTCAATAATATAATCCTCGAATAGAAAATTTCTCAAAGATGAGTACTGCTTCGAGGACATTATGAGAAACAACTATTCTCAGTTTTAGGAAAAGCATCAAATATTGCTTTGAAGTGTAACTCGATTTAATTCTTAGGATATTCATAGGAAAATGGCTCCTAGGCCAAAAAGCAAGATGCTTTGGCTTGAATTTGGAATCATTTGTTGTTATTGTCAGGTTAAATTTTAAGTACCGCTTAAAAAAAGACGATGATTATTATATTTGTGAAAGTAAGTTGAAGAAATATTACCCAAGGTTCTCTTACTGATATTATATTTAAAAACTATCGTTTGATTTCTATGAAAATAGATCGTCTGTATAGCAGCTGGTAGACAAGTAGTATAGATAACTCTTACTAGTTCAGGACGACGATAAGCAGGAAAACGTTCAAGTATTTCATCTATTGATAATTCACGAACACATAGGCCGCGAATGTTGAATGATTGTCCCCAAAGGTCATTAAGTATATCATTATCAGGATTATATTTAGGTAATTTGATATGCATACTACTGACTATGGACAATAAATTTTCATTTTTTTTATCAACCAAATTGATCATTAGCTACAAAAAAACAACCAATGTTGTTCCATTTTAAATAATTTCCAAACTTACTGTATCTTTGATTTTTCGTTCAGCTTGTAAAATGTCACTTTTTTGCTTCGGGCGTCTTTTTGTTTTACCATATTAATCTTGCTTCGCTTGCACAAAATTATTAACCATTTGTAATGGTTTACATTCGCGCTTAAACTTTTACTTTATTGATTCATGCCAATATCTCTAAAAAAAAAGAAAGAAAGTTTTCAGATAATTCATTCATTTTTTCTTACTATAGATTGGTGAACTAATGATGAAGCAATACATCATTTCTTTACGATACATTTAGCCATGGTCATATACTCATTATTGGTTGGATAGCTAGATAAAATTGAATGTAAAAACAAAAAATACTAATTATTAGAACTGAACACTTACAATAACTGATGTGATGTTGTTACATCATCAAATAGAGTCGATAATAATTCACCATGTAGAGTCGTTTATGGATAAAATTTGGAAATATTATTGTCGTCGATTTAATGTTGTATTCTCACAGTTAATTGTGGTACTTCATAATCTATCGGCAATGTTGCTTTCGTCTAGGCATCATCATTATCATCATCAGAACAAACAATATTTGATGAGGGATCAGGATCTGTCACCGGATCAATATCATTATTTGATCGTTGAGCTTCATTTGAAACAGATGGAGTTCGTATAGTATTTTTATTTAGTACACCTATAAATTTGAAATATAATAATGACGATATGTTTAACTTCACATGCTTTCCGAATTCAGTCTTGCAATACATTGTCAATGTGATTAACATTTCTGATAGCATGCTTTAGCCTACCAAATGCTTATAGTTTGTCTAAATCAAATAAAATAGGGAATATTCAACTAGTTTTCTGAAAAAATAATTTCTTGAGACAGTTTATCGAATTCTCAACTCTTTATCACTGTAAACTTTTATGTTTGATAATATAAAGTTAAATGATGAGTCGAGCACATTCTCTTTCTTTCCGCATCCTTTCTTATCATGTCATGTTTTTCTGATTTAAACTAGAATTTCAAGCAAATTTAGGTAATTATTAACTATGGATCATATTTGTATTTTGTTTTAAAATTTTTGAAAACTATATTTGCTTTACCATATAACTACCTAATTCATTATTTCGTCGACTCAGTACAGTACCTTGATACTTTCTATATCCTTGCTCTTATTTTGCAATAAATTGATTTTTCACGTATGATTTCTTCTAAAAATAAACTGGTATTCATTTCTAAAGAATTCTTTTCTCATCGTCACAAGTGTTGGTATTATTCTTTACTAGTTGTTATACTGCTGTACAAATAAATATTCTTTATTACATCATTTGGCGAAAGTGACGTTGGAACATGCATAATTGGCGAAAAAGCATAATAGAACTTTGATTGAGTATATAAACCATATATGGTTCTGTAGGAAATGCACGAAACCTATCAATGCTTGAAGGAGAGATATAAAGTATTTTTTAAAGATCTGTAAATCCACCAGATAGCGCAAAAAAACTTTAAATCGTTTCGTATGATATATGCGAAACCATCAATCACACCTACGAAACTGAACTTTTCGCGAAAAATATACGAAACCTTATGATTAATAACATGAAGACAAAAACTTTAGTACGAACAATTCTAAACCTTTTGATTTTGCACGAAACCTGTGGTTGTTTAGTATAAAAAGAACGGAACCTTCAGCTTCAAATCGGAACCTTTAGCCACTAAGTTGATTTGTTATACGAAACTTCACTTAATTTAAAAAACTATTATTGTTTTTTTTAGATAAACTTCGAAACCATAGACCAATTTACGGAACTAGCAAAAATTTTCGCTGCAAAATTTCAAAACCCTGCTAATTCTTCTGAACTTGGATAAGTTCTGTATAATTATTACGAAACGGTTTTGACTTCTCCGAACCTTAAATCGTTTAGTGCAAATATGCAGAACTAATAAAGTTCAGCAAGAAACCTATTTTTTTTAGAGTTTAGAGTCCCTTGCCATCAGCTGTAGGAGTTTCAGTGACGCAATATGGGCAATAGCTGCTACTCATCATTCCTGAAATAGAACCTAGTGCTCGTGCAGCGTCCATTGCATAGTATGCAAATAGCCGCTCATGATGATAATATATGTTGTATTCTGATTGTCATACTGTAATTTACACAAGTTATTTCTTTATTTCTTTGTCAGATTTATACCTATTTTCGTTTTGATTGAAAATAGGGAGTAATCTGAAAAAATTCGTCACATCTTTCAGTCACCCACTTCTATTAATATAAGATTTTCCCAACAAATCCAAAGTTCATTACAAAGAACTAACTGATTTTAATTGATCATGATTATTTTTAATTGGTAGTGCATTAATTATTATATGTACAGAGATTCATTCAAGGGATGAAAGTTGGAAAAAAGCAAACACAACGTCCTATGAATAAATAAGATTCAGCATATCCTACAGCTAAGATTGCCTATAACGGCCGCGAACACCTTGGAAGAATCGTATAATACGATTTGAAATATCAGTGAATTCGTAGACACCATCACCCATTTCATATTTTATTAAATGAATAAACATCTGATGTAAAAATTGTGAAAATTTCTAGACGAGATGATTGAATATCATGAATTTTAAGTTCCTTAAAATGTTATTTTAACATATCCTTCAATTCAAGCTTATGTACTTTCACTTCCTCTAGAATTAGAGGTACGATTGAGAAATTTGATTGATTTATGCATAATAATGGCTCATTTTTTATTATTTGAATATCATCAGTTGATGGTTTTTGTTGTCATGCGCTAATTAAATTATCACGACTTTGGATACATTTATTAATACTACCTTCTCTTTGTTTTTTTGGAGGCGCTTTCATCGAATAATAACAATTAATTGACTAAACCACCTCCTACCGAATAAAAGAGAAGTTTACACAAAAATATATTCTTTTATTAAGTAAAAAAGACAAAACAGCAATCCAACGATACTTTCTACGCAGAACACATGTATTATTAAATAAAAGAAAAGAAAAACCATTAAAGTAAAGATTGATATAAAAAATGATGAAGAAATGAATGCAAGGAGAAAACGGCAGATTTTTTTGCATTTAAAAACCCAACAATCCCAAAATTGAAATCATTCCGCGCCTCCCCCTGCTAATGACGTAGCTTCGACCTGAAATTCTTCCTATATATACGTTTCATGGCTCATAGAAGATCCTAAAAGTTTCAATGTGAACAATTGTTTTCTTCTTAAAATATTGAATTTTCAAAAATATTGGATTTTCCGACCATGGCGTGAAACGAGCATTTATTGCGCATTCATTATTTTGAGAAGGAAACATTCGTTTGCGCTGAAAATTTTAGAATATTCTACGGATCATGAGATCTACATATGAAGAAAAATTCAGATGGAAATTCCATCATTCACGGTTTGGGTTTCGGGAATTTGGAAAATCCTAAAAATCCAAGGGGGAAACGGCAGATTTGAAGTAGAAAAGTACATCAAAGTACTTTACTTGAAGTAAGCTTAAAGTAGCTTAAAGTAACTCAAAGTAACTCAAAGTAGCTCAAAGTAGTCCAAAGTAGCTTGAAGTAATTGCAAGTAACTTCAAGTGAATTTGAAGTTGAAAAGTACTTCAAAGTACTCTACTTGAAGTAAGCTTAAAGTAGCTTAAAGTAACTCAAAGTAGCCTAAAGTAGCACAAAGTAGCGCAAAGTACTTGAAGTACAAAAGTCTGCCTTTTCCCCCTTGTAAAAATCTCTAAATCCCAAATCCACGTTTTTCTCCTTGAATTAATGTCTTCATCGAAGAGTTTTCAGATAGTACACTAATTTGAAAGCTATGCAAAAACATCTGGAATATTAAGTTCTCATCGCCTTTCTAACCACAATAGGAGCGATTATGAAGAATATATTATCATTAAATGTATTCAAATATAAAATTCGCTATGCTCAGTCCCATTTGAATGACAAATATAACGGCGCCAAAAAGTGAACCTGCTACGCTTCGAACAACCGACGAAGCTGAAGAATGCTCTTGAGTTATTGCATTCGACATTCCATCAAATAGAATTCTGTCATATCCAACTAAATGCCCAAACGAAATTAAATCTTTTGCTACAAATTTGCTTGTAAAAGAAAATTAGAATACCTGGTAACACCAATGATCGACTCATTTCTGAATATACTGATCCATGATAGTTGATATACTGATTATAATTCAATGGATAGCTGACCATTGTAGATTAAGAATAATGCTGACGATCGATGTCCTAATATAACTCTTAACTATATAGTCTATTGCAAAAGACCTTTCAAATATTTGATATATATGCATTGCAAAAAAAACGGAAGTTTCGTCATACCTGATTAACTACAGTCACGAAGAAACGAAAATTTTCCTTTCACCCTAATAGTTAGCAAAATTGTTAAATGCACACGTTTACTCTCATTGATGTGAAAAAATGATAGTAATCTTGTTTACAAGGCCTTGTATGCATTACACTACTGAGTTGTCGCTTCTTTCGAATACCTATATGTATCTTGTACATGGGTGTGTCTAATTTGGTAAAAATATCAAACGACAATTATACATTAAAGCAACTGATAAACTTGAAATCGTAATATATTCGCACAAGAAGCTCATTCTTTTTTGAAAAATGAATACCGCATAATCAAAATATATCGACTCACGAGGGAAGATCACCAACGGTTCAATCGCTTTTGCGTTTTAACTACTTGCATTATGTAGCTCCAAGAGATTTATGGATACACTGGAAATATTTTGGGCGACTAGCTTACTGTTACGAAAATAGGCCATTTGTAGGATGTTGGTTTTAATGAGTGCCTGGATGCCCCCTTAGGAACATGAGAAAAAATTATTTCCGAATTTTGACTTGAAACTCTACATGAAAAGACGCCCCAAGGAGAACAACTTTTTGTGAACGTTTCAGATATTTCTAGCACTCCTATCAATAGACTCATCTATTGTGAAATGTGTATTCTACATCTTTCAAATAAAGTAGTAAATTTGACGAAAAAAACAAATTCACTGACCAAAAATGTGCACAAAACACTGGTTTCGTTGAGGTATGTTTCTCTGTAAAGTTTCAAGTGAAAATTCGAAAATAATTTTTTCTAATGTCCCTAAGGGGAGCCCAGGTACACATTAAAACCAACACCTTACAAATGGCCTATTTTCGTAACACTAAGTTGGGGGGGGGGGGGGGGGGGGGGGGGGGGGGGGGGGGGGGGGG